GGGTTAGCCAGTATGAAGTTCTCTCCCCCCAGAGATTTCCCATGGTTTCCTCTTTTTTGTCCCGTTTGAATGTTTTAGACCATCAAATTAAATTAGTTTTTATGTAGAGACTTCATTATTTAAAAGAGGTAACTTAATCCATCCCAAATCAGATAGCAACCTGTGCTACTTTAGGAGGCAGGTTTATAGTCCTTTAAATCACTGTGGAAGAACAACTGACAGGGTTTTGAGGATGAATTACCCATTAAATATTTTTCTACAGCATTTTGAATGTGCTTAAGACCAAACTTTGAGTTGGCCACTCCTTAACCTTGTTTTGGCTTTTATAGTGGACTTAAATCAGAGCTTGCATGTGTAGTCTTGGGTCAATGTAGTTCTGCATTACCCAAGTAGCCTTGAGCAAAGATCAGAAAATTATGGATGGAAATTTACCTGCAGCATTTTTTACTAAAGTGCAGAATTTATATTTTCATCATCGGGTAGCAAGCTGACAAAGTCTGATAGACAAACTTATTATTTCATTTTTATTTTATTTATCACTTGAATTAAGCTACAGTAATGGATCAAAACTTTGTTGAACCTATTCTTTTAAGGTATGTCTCCATCAGATTTGCACATCTGCAGAAGGAAACTTTTACCCCACCCCAAAAAAAAAAACCTTGAATACTGTCCTATTATAATAAGAACTTAGATTTTGAAATGTAACCAAACATTCTTTATCCATCATCTGCACCCTCATAGATGGATATTTAGGGTTGTTGTCCTGGTGAAAGATAAAACTCGATCTCCGCCTCATATCGTCTGCAAACAAACATTTCCATAGCATGATGCTGCCCCAACTGTTTTTTGATGAGGATTGGGTGTTCAGAGCGATATTGTTTCTTTAAACAGTGGCTTTCTAATATTTAAGCTGCAAACATAAAACAAACTTTAGTAGGGTAAAGCAAAGAAAAGTTTATCCACTGCTGAGGTGCTGCTTCTAACCTGGTATCAGTGGTTTTCTCTGCACTAATGGCCATTCCAGCAAGACTAGACACAAAAAGCAGGAAAAACAGTGATTCCAGGTCTCCTCAGAGACAAAGTAAGGCACCACTAACATAAGGAGCTGAGCACCATGTAATCTTAACATGTTTCTTATCCTGTTTATTTCTTTGACATCCAATCAAATCAATAGATATTTATCAATTTCAGCATTAGGACCATGCATACTCTGCCAAACAACACAAACACAGCTTGCATGACCACTGCCTTTCTAACTCAAGTTAGAAGAAAAGATTACATTAGTTACTGCTTCCAGAAATTTTCTTGGGTGTTTGAATGTCACCACCTGGTGGACCATTGTCAATAAATGCTGTTTAGTGTGCCAAAAAGGCCAGTTTTTATTTTGTATCTGTAGTTTGATGATATCGAAGCATCTGCTTTAAGGCATAATGAGGCAAATGATGAGAGACAGTGCTGCCTGGCCATCCTCTAATGGCACTCAGAATTCACCCGTTTGTGTGCAGGAATGACTGTTTCAATGGATAAAATGATGGAGAAATGTATTGGATTTCTGTCTATGGAAGATCAAACCTGTTCTTTGCTGGTTTTCCATTAAATCGAGTCACACAGGCACTGAAATCTAACAAGCGCTGGTACTACTGCTGCCACGTGTCATACCAGGGGGATTACGCATTTTCTGAAAGAAAAAGAACTGATTATCACTCTGAGTTTTGGATTAAAGTATATCTGAAATCAATTCAAACCGATCATTTCCTGTTCATTCAATTCCAAAGGGATTTTTCTGCCTTTACCAAAAATGGTCTTCACAATGACCGTGATCTTTGCCTGACCCCAACAGTATTAAAATCCGATGATATATTTAAGAAGAGCTTTATTTTCACATCTACTTCTACATTCATTATAAAAGCTTCCAGCATTTATCAGGGGATGGTTTAAAATTAGAAAGAAAAGAGCTGCTGGCATCTTGTTCTGTGTCCACAGCAAACTTATTAAGCTACAGATTTGAACTGGGGAAGCAACACAGTGAAACAGATGACTTGTTTTAGAGTGGATTGGGTAGGGATTTAACATGCCCGCGTTTAATCTCAGGATAGACACCAGCAGGTTACGTAAATTCTTTCACAGCACAGATTACTGCTGGTAGTGTTTGGTCAAATCCGATCACAATGGATATCTAAGTCTCAGGCTCCAATTTACAGGAAGATTTTCATTTCTTCCATTCAAAGTCATAAATTGGTCTTGGATGGATTCTGCAGATACAAGGTTGCCAGGCTGATGATTTCAACTTGCAGAAATCAGAATCTTTTCTCTGCGGTGGTTAGGAGGATAATGTGTGGATTAGTGATTGGGACTATCATCTGCACTCATGTACACAAATCCTTTTCTAAATTCAGACTTTGCATTCTCCGAGGGTTTCTTCTTTTACAACAAAAATGAAATCAGAACAGAACCCGCCAGAAGAAGTGACCCCCAGAGAAAAGAGTCAGCTAAATTAAAATAAAAGCAGGCATAACAAAATGTAACAGCACAGAGATTTAGACAATCAAAAGGTTTTTCAGTCATAAAGTTAACATATAATAATAAACAAACTGAAATTACTATTGTTCTGATATAAACCCAGTGGTGGAAAGTAACAAAACGCATGTACTTGAGTACCATATTTAAATATGTTTTTTGTGTAGATTTATTTTACTATGCTATTTGGGGGGGTACTTCTAACTTTTAGTACACTATATTTCTTCGTCAAATATTTTACATTCTATTTCACTACATTTCGAATAAGATTCTAGTTACTTGTTCGTTATGGCTCAGCTTAGATTTGTAATCCACAGTTGCTGTTTTTCTTTCTTGAAATGCAATTTCAACATGGAAGATAGCAGCCATTAGAACTGAATTTTGACACCACTGTTTTAGAGATTTGCATGACACTCCACAAATATAAGAAACTCAGGGAAGATATTATTTGTAGTTTATACATTTTATTAAGCTATTAGTTGTTGCCATGTGGCCGAGTTGTTCAATTGGACGAGTTCTCAAAGCAGAGTTGCAGTTTCTTTGTGGTAAACGATTATACAGAAAGGTACTATATAAGTACATTTAATTTGTATTTTTGAATACTTAAGTACTTTTAAATCCCTGTACTTTTGAATACTTAAATATTTTCATAAGTTAGTACTTCAATACTTTAACGAGTTAATGTTGGACCAAGTAACTTTTACTTGTAGTTGAGTACAATTTGACTATGAGTATCAATACTTTTACTCAAGTACTAGTACTGTTGAGTACTTCTTCCACACCTGTATAAACTTTGAAACAAAAAAGGCAAACAAATCTGAAAAATGCATTAAAAAAAATAGAAAAGCTTTTAAATGAAAAATTCATAACTATAAAAAAAATTGTAACATTTTTAAATAAGGGAGACCTGTATTTTTTAGTGTCTCAGTGTTCTTTAGTATTTAACATTTTTTATTGCATTATATTGCATTTAGTGATACTAAACATTTAAGACAAACATGAAACCAAAACTGCAAAATTAAAATAACAATGATAAAAATGAGAATATTTCTAGTTTCTCTTAAGAATATTACAAAATAATTTACGCATTTTTGCATCTACTTAGGCGTAATAAATTAGTTTAACACAATTGTTTTATGCAAAAGATAAATTCCATTTTTTGTCAGTGTATTTGCAAAATGATGCATCGAGAGAAAAATTTATAAAATATGAATATTTGGTTTTATAGAAAACAAGAAATTGCAGCATTCTATACAATTAAATAATCTAAAAACAAATAAGACACCTTCAACATTATTTGTATACATTTTGAGTTATGGTCCCAGGTTGGGTTATGGTTTTCATCAGAAGAAACTATTAAATAACATTGATTTTAAAAAAACCGAGAAAAATATTGAAAAAGAGATCTTACAGTGGAGGGATCTGAACTTTCTAGTTTCGTTATCAAAACAGTAAGCGATGAGAGGTATGACAAGACTGTGAGATTAGAGGAAGGAAGGATGATAAGAGACCGGGAGTTTCACAGGAGAACGAGGCCACCGAATGTGCAAAAGTTGAAGAAATTATTTAAGACGAGTAAAATATTTCAGATTAGTGATGAAGATGAAATACTTTCACCCACATTGCTGTGGTACTCAGCTTTGATAGTTACTGCATACTTTAAATAATTTTATTATTTATTAAGATCCTTGTTATGGGGGCATGTGAATATTGATAAGGATCGAAGGTACCCAGATGAGCTGATCAGATAAGATGTCGAACAGCTGGAGCAGAATGAAAGCATGAAAGCTTTGGGAGAAGCACTAATTAATTTGAAGGGATCTGAAATAAGGTGCAGAGAAGCTGCTAACCAAGGGGAAAAGACCAAGACTGATCTAAGCTGCACAGATCAAAATGAACAGACATTAGAACACAAGAATAAACAAAGAAACTAAAAAACAAAAGAATAAGCTATTAAAACAACTTATAAAAAATGATGAATACAGAGGAATTATCTAAATTTTCTAAAAAGACATAAATATCCAAAGGAAATTATCAAAACACAAATGAAAACCAAAACATAAAATAGCCCAGGATTAAGTCAGCTATGTCCATTGAACTATGTTAATTAACTGCAAAGCTTCTAAAATTTATCCCTAAAACAGGGATTAAACCAACAAATTATTCCAAAAGAAAAATGAGGCAGAACTTGACCAAAGTGAATCGGGATTGCAAAAGTTTCCAAACATGAATAGCAACTAATGGCTGCATAGTTTTCAAAGTATTTACAATTGAATATTTGTGCCCAAGTTCGGAGTCTATTTTAAACGAGTCCTGGCACCCCTGCTGTGCACTCATGTTCAAAACCACCGCAGGAGGCAGATATCAAAAACTGAAAAATAAGAGGATTTTTTTTTCTGGCCTTATTTTCAACCCAACTGTAAAATGCAAATGCTGTCAATCAAACACAAAAGACTCATCTCATCTTTCCCTATGTCCTGCAGAAAAAAGGCAAGATGCACTACCAAATTGCTGTGATCATAAACTTCCTGGGTCATTGCATCTCCATGGTGGCTCTGCTCATCGCCTTCTTCCTCTTCTTGTGCTTGAGGTAAGTGTTGGCACTGATAATCCTGAAGATATCCTTGATGTGACAGAAGCGTCAAAATTCTACACATCCAGGGATGGTTCAAAGACTCTCTCGTTCTTATTCAAAACCCATTTGGCCAAGGGATGAAACCTTCACTATCTCAATCCAGCAGATGTAAAGGGGTTTAGACACCCGCAAAAACTGGGACACATTTCCCCGCAAATGAGAATAATAGACCCATCCAAAGAAGGGGTGAAAATCAAAACAGTCCTGTGGATGCCTGCTGGGACGAGGTTAGAAGGGGGGCTTCTAACTGAAATGAGATGTGTGTTAACGAAAAAAAGGTCTTAGCACCCTCAAAAGCCAGGACCATTATTGATCCCAGAAAGAGCACCGGGGAGTGAGAAAAGCGTGAAAGGGCACAAAGAGGCATAATAAGTAGACGCTCTGCAGGACAGCATTGAAGCTCGCCACGTGTTTGTAAGCCAGGGCGGGAGGACAAGTGTCGTCTGGTTAAAAATGGCATTAAGCTAAAGAAGTAGTCGGTATTTATTACTCACCTTCTTGACATTGAAATGAAACTGGGAACAATTTAAAGAAAGGCTGTCACTTGGCGATGTGACAGAGAGTGCTTTGACACCAAGGTGCAATGCTGTGAAACAGGGAGGATAGAGAGAAAGTAGCGGGGGGGGGGGGGGGGGGGGGGCACATTTCATTTTAAATGGCAGGTAGAGCATTTTCAGCCAACGCCGTGACATTTTTCTGTATGAAATCCAACCGTAAATGACCATTTTTATGGTGATATTTCAGCACTAGGCTGTATGTGCCTCAAGAAACACACACCCCTCTCCTGGATAACAATGCTGTAAATTTATGATGAGCTTTCAAAAAAAAAAAGAGTTAAATGTTCCTGATATCCAATTTGGTTAGATGGATTCAGGTAGAAATAATCTGCATTTTTATTGCATTTCTAACAATTCTCCCCTCTCATCTGAACATGAAACGACCAAATTATGTCAAGCTATTTAGGATTTAAATTTTCTCATCATCAAAATTACAAAAAGGGTCTGCTATAAATGCCAATAAACGGCTGATATCAGGGGGGGAAACAGCAAGTTCATGTTTTAGCTGTCCAGAGGGTTGTTCAACCCAAATAATTTAAGGGGAACCTATTAGGAGGAAACATGTTTCCTGTGTGTCAGAACATACAGCTGAATTATAGTAACGTGCACTGAGAAAATTAGAAAGATTACATTTTGAGACTCTCCTAAAGTAAATGGGGCTAAAACTTTCATTTTACAATTACCAAAATAACCTTCTAAACACGTGAGAGACTGGACTGGAAGGATTAACATACCTTCAAAAAAAAAAAAAGCTCTTGACTGATGAGGCTTATTGTAGATTATTCAGTTGACATAACATGTAAACTGTATGAAGGTGTGACTGCATCTGAGATTTGTGTTAATATACTGTTTTAAATTTCAAATGTATGCCTTTATATAATATATAATTGAACTTTATTGATCTCACAATGGAGAAATTCACTTCTGCATCTTAACCCATCCCCTTGGGGAGCATTGGGCTGCCACTGTGCGGCACCTGGGGAGCAATCGGGGGTTAAGGGTCTTGCTCAGGGACCAAGAGTGCTGTGGGTATAGAACTGGGTACTTGCAACCTTCTCAGAGCACAAGCGCACTGCTCTATCCAATGGGCCAACACACCTCTTTTCTTTTATTTTCTGTAGATTACATATGATCCAGATAACATAAAAGTAAATATTTCAAATATTTTGAGCTACAAAATAAATTGGTTTACATTTTCTTTTAGCCATTTTTGTATAAATGGGACTAGAGATGACTGGTTTTACCTGGGAGACGTGGAACGTAGGGTGAATCCTGAGTGTCGAGGGAAGTTGAAGACGGACGGCGGAGGGGTTGATGACTCGAGTGATCTTGTATGGGCCGATGAATCTCGGGGATAATTTGCGGGACGGGGATGTCCCGGGTGGACAGCCAGACCTCCTGGCCGACCTTGTACTCGGGGGCTGGACGTCTCTTGGGGTCTGTGAACCTCTTAGAGGACTCAGAGGAACGGTTGAGTGCTTGGATGGTCTCTCTCCAAACACGCTGGCAACAACGGATGTGGTGATTGACAGTCTTCACCGATATCTCCCTCTCGTCTGCAGGGAAGAGAGGTGGTTGGTAGCCGAGGCTAACTTGGAAGGGAGACTGACCGGTAGATGCAGACTTGGGTGAGTTATGGGCGTATTCTATCCAGGTGAGATATTGACTCCAATCGGTGGGATTATTGGAGGTGAGACAGCGGAGGGTGGATTCGAGGTGTTGGTTCATCCTCTCAGTTTGACCGTTTGAGTGGGGATGATAGCCAGAAGTTAGTGACACTTTACAATTTAGAGCAGAACAGAAAGCCTTCCAAACCTGTGAGACAAATTGGGGACCACGATCTGAGAGGATGTCCTGGGGAATACCATGGAGGCGAAAGACGTGCTTGATCAGCAACTGGGCGGTTTGATAGGCCGTAGGAAGCTTTCTGAGAGGGATCAGATGACAAGATTTGGAGAAACGATCTACGATGGTTAAAATAGTTGACATACCTCGAGACTCTGGGAGACCAGTGACGAAATCGATGGCAATATGGGACCAAGGACGTGAGGGCACAGGGAGCGGTTGCAGCAAACCAGAGGGTGGCTGATGAGAGGCTTTGTTCCATGCACAGGTGGAGCAGGCTGACACATATTCCTTTACATCTCGATGCAAAGTGGGCCACCAAAACCGTCTTGAGAACAGTGAAAATGTTCGGCTCACTCCCGGATGAGCAGAGAATTTTGCCGAGTGCATCCAATGAATGAGACGAGACCTAACAGACGAGGGGACATAGGTACGGTTAGGTGGTCCATTACCTGGGTCAGGTTCTGTGGCCAGGGCAGCGTTGATTAAATCTGTTATCTCCCAAGTGACCATTCCAACGGTACATGAGGCAGGGAGGACAGGTTGGGGTGACTCAGGTTGATCCACAGCGTAGAGACGAGAGAGAGAATCGGGCTTGGTGTTCTTAGATCCAGGTCTGTAGGAGATAATGAGATTAAAACGTGAAAAGAAGAGAGACCACCTTGACTGTCGAGGAGTAGCTTGTTTAGCGGACTGGATGTAGGCGAGATTATTGTGGTCAGTCCACACCAGGACTGGATGCTCAGCTCCTTCGAGCCAGTGTCTCCATTCTTCCAAAGCCAACTTAATGGCCAAAAGTTCTCGGTCCCCAACGTCGTAGTTGTGTTCTGCGGGAGAGAGTTTACGGGAAAAGAAGGCACAGGGATGGATTCGTTGATCAGAGTCGAGTTTCTGAGACAAAACTGCCCCTACACCGGAGTCAGAAGCATCAACCTCTAGGATAAATTGCTTAGATGGATCTGGTTGGATTAGGACTGGAGCTCTGGAAAACAAGGTTTTGAGTTTGTCAAAAGCTGCTTGTGCCTCGGGGGACCAACGAAAAACTCTCTTGGAAGAAGTTAATGCAGTTAATGGGAGGGCGGTTTGGCTGTAATTTCTGATGAACCTCCGGTAGAAATTAGCGAAGCCCAAAAATCTTTGTAGCTGCTTACGGCTTTCTGGAACGGGCCATTCTAAAACAGCTTTTATCTTCTCTTCAGAAGGCTTAACCTGCCCGCCCTCGAGCTCAAACCCCAAAAAGGTAACTGAAGATTGGTGAAACTCACATTTTTCAGCCTTTACAAAAAGTTTATTCTCTAGAAGTCTCTGAAGAACCAGGCGGACATGTCTCTTATGTTCAGATAGATTCTTGGAGTAGATCAGGATATCATCAATGTATACGAATACAAACACATTGAGAAAGTCTCTGAGGACGTCGTTCACTAGGGCCTGAAAACATGCGGGGGCATTTGTTAAGCCGAAAGGCATGACCAAATACTCGAACTGGCCCAAAGGAGTCTTAAATGCCGTCTTCCATTCATCTCCTTCACGTATCCTAAGGAGATGATAGGCATTTCTTAAATCGAGCTTTGTGAAAACGGTAGCTCTTTGTACAGGCTCAAAGGCTGAGGCGAGAAGAGGAAGAGGATATTTGTTTTTGATAGTGATTTGGTTCAGGCCTCTATAATCTATACAGGGTCTCAAAGAACCATCCTTTTTTCCAACAAAGAAAAATCCTGCGCCCAACGGGGATGAAGAAGTGCGAATTATTCCTGCAGCTAGCGACTCGTTAATGTATTTTTCCATTGTTTCACGTTCTGGTTTGGAAATGTTATAAAGTCTACTGCTGGGTAACGGAGCACCGGGTAATAACTCGATGGCACAGTCGTATGGTCTGTGTGGTGGAAGGGACGAAGCACTGACCTTACTGAAAACAGGAGCCAAATCATGGTAATCAGGGGGTACCGAAGTAAGGTCAGGGACGTCCATCTCCCCCCCACCTCTAGGGGACCCCACAGCGGGAGCTGCAGAACGGAGGCAGGTCTCGTGACACAATGTGGACCAGGACTCCACATGACGATCGGCCCAATTAATATGGGGATTATGCTTCTCCAGCCATTCATAACCCAGTACCAGTGGGGAACATGCGGATGAAAAAACAAAGAAGGTTATGGACTCTCGATGGTTACCTGAGATTAGAAGTTCAAGGGGTTGAGTTTGGTGGGTGACTTGATGAAGTTTTTTCCCATCAATCGCAGAGACTCTGAGAGGCTGGGTTAAAGGAACCGTAGCAATTTGGAGCTGTTGGACGAGATCAGAGTCTATTAAATTACGTTCACATCCAGAATCAATGAAGGCTGAAAGAGAGAGGCTCTGGTAGAGGAAAAACAACGTGGCAGGAAGCAAAAGACGAGGAGGTTTTTCATTTTCTTCATGGCCCGTCAGACTCCTCAAAACCTCTGACGGGCCCCGGCTTTTGATTTTTCTGGACAGGAAGCAATGAAGTGTCCACTCTCACCACAATAAATGCAAAGTCTGCCCAAAAATCTCCTTTGCCTTTCCTCAGGAGACAAC